CCCTCCTTCCCCATTCTCCTTTTCTGGCATGTAGCTGCTATAGTTTGCAAAAGATAAACACGTGCCAAGAATTCAACTGGACACGATCTAAAAATACTTTTATCTTAGTTTGTACTTTGGAAGTGTGAAGCTAGTTTTCTTTAACAATCTTGCAGTCAATCCACACAAATTCCATCTTTATGAATATGGGTCTTTTTTTAGAGGTGGCAATGGGGCTTATCAGAATTGGGGGCAGGTATAGCTGGAGAAAGCATATGGTAAACCTATTATTTAATACAAACTATCAAACTTAAAATTTGCCAAAATATTTTTAGCAGGTATACAGAAGATGAAGTAAAATATAAGCACGGGAGGGCACAAGAGAAATTGGTCTAGGGAATCGGAATCCATCACCAAGTTAAGCAAAATGAGCATTTTGACTAAGTTCAAGATTGAGTAGAGGATGTCATAAGTAATATTTTAGGGGAAAGCCCCAAATTTGAATATGAAATGATATGCATGTGGGAACAACAGTAGTGTACTGAGTGCCTCTCATCTCAGGACTATGCTTTGCCTGTGGGCCCAGGCTCAACTTGCTAGATCTCTCCAGTTTACAGATAAAAAGAAACTGAGGCTGATATCTACAAGCAGGTAAGAGGCAGAGTTTGGATTAAAATTTCTTTTTTTTTTTTCCTTTTTGTCTTTTTTCGTGTCCGGCAACGGATTGCAACCCTCNTCCGAACCCTCGGCGGGAGCGCCACCGCGCTCTCAAGCGGCACACTGTAGCAGTGCGCCACTGGGCCAGCCCCTGGATTAAAATTTCTGATTAAAAAAAAACTCAGGTTCTCTTTCAACATCCCAGTGTTTTTCTGTAACTTCAGAGAGATAAATAAGTCATCCTGGGTTGTTTAATTTTCTGTGTGGCTGAGGGTCCACCCATTCAAGAAGTTAAACAGAAAAAGCTTTCTAAAATTACATTATGCATTGCCTTGCCTCCTTCAGCATGGTATACCAGGCATTTAGTGACCTTTTCCTGAAAACTCATTCTTGACATAGGTGAGTGGACTATACCATAAATGAGGTGACGCTCCTGGGGTCTGAGGTGTGGGGGGCTAGCGGTCCACACTGTGGTGCTTTCCCAGTTTGCTTGCAGAGTATGATTTTGATTCTTCCCCCAGCTGCTACTCATGTGCTTTAGGTGCTTTTCTTTTTTTAATTTTGTTTTTAATCGACACATAATAATTGTACATATTTCTGGGTTACAGTATGATGTTTCAATACAAGTATACATTGTGTAAGAATCAACTCAGTGTTTAGCATATACATCACATCATTTCTTGGTGGTGAAAACATTCAAAATCCTCTCTTCTAGCTATTTTAAAATATACAATATTGTTTAGGGGCCAAAGGAAAACTTCCTCTTCACTCCTGAAGGTTCATTAATAAAAATCACTGATGAATTTAGATAAATATGAAGAAAAGGCACAAACATTTTATTATTTAACATGCTGGGAGAAGGCAAAGCATGGGGGAATCACAAGAGAACAATGTCCCAATTTTCCATTGGGGTGCAGAGCTTATATACTCATCTCCATAGGGAAAGGGGAGATGGGGGTGCAGGAGTAAACGATTCTTAGGGGGATGAAATGGGCCTGGGGAACATACAATGACCCAGGACAAAGTCCATCTGGCTGGCAGAGCAGACAATGACTGGTAAATGATTTTCTTTAAAATACTGAATGGGTCCGACATAGAAGCAATGGTCTGTGACAAAAGTCAGTCCAGGTGTGCTGCCAGGCTCGTCTTCCTTTCTGTGATAGAATTAAATTGATGAAAACTCTGACAGCCTTCTGCAACCCTACAATTGTCAACCACTCAAAGTTCTTTTCCTTTCTTAAATGGGGATCGCCCACTGCCTTAGAAACTAGATAATTAAACCACTTAGAAATGTATGTAAAGTAAAAATAAATAGGCCTTAAG